CAGCTAAATGTCATTTTTCAAAATCAGAACAAGGACCAAAATAAATAAGACTCACCTCCACCCATCACCAAAAAATATAAGACCTAGAAATCTAAGAACACAACCTGAATTTGCATTTCATTAGTCCCACAGTGAACTTGGTCAGTAGTACTATACAAAGGGAAACATGCGCATGAAACTTCATTTCATTGAAATCAATACCCATTACCTTTAAAAAGATTGTAAAAGTTGGATTTATGATTACTTGAACAGTTACTGAGACTCTCAACATTTTAGCCAAGGGAGACTTTGTGCCATGTCTTCAGAAGGCCTTTCTGGGGACCAACTACTGCTAAGGTTTAATATAGGCTTGCAGTCCATGGAGAGGAATACTTTTGCAATGGAACTGCTGATAGGTTACTTTTACATCATTCAGAACATTTGATAAGAAAGATCACTTTACTCCTTGGCCTGAACAAGCTAGTGGCTGTAAAGAATTTGTCATCAGAGCTTTGAGCTCATAAGTCAATGCACCAAGTCTGAGTAAAGTTAAAGAAGACTGCTCGGTACCTGAGAATGTGGTTGCTTTTATGTAACATGATCACCTTTCAGTTCATCTTGCAGCTTGCTTTTGAGATAAAGCATATGTTTTAAAAGGAAGGAGGCTAATGCTCTCCTGTGGCCAAGTCCATCTTTCCCACCACCTTCCTTTGTGTGCTCTTGTAAAGGGAAACACTGCACCCATGTATATAGGAGCCCCAAGGTGATGGTGCTAGTGAAAATGATCAGCTTGGAATTCCAGAAGGAGACTGGTTTTCATTATGTGAGTGAGAGGTCATTATTTGAATCTCTTTTTCTTTAAATTCACAGCCTCATGATCTCTAGCTTTGCAGCATGTCCATGATCATTATCTTTGGGTGTTTTAAAAGTATAAATACAGTGGTGCGTCAGCTGGCCTCCCCCAGACCCGAGTAGCTAATGGAAAGATTTTGCTATATGGCTGCCATTCATACAGATGAACTGTGTCATAAATCACATGCAAATCACATGCTTGCCTGTGTGGTTGCAAAGAGAACAAGAGAAATGGCCCGCATTCTCTCTGTTCTATGGCAAGGATTTGTTGTGCAAAATGATCTTGTCAGTCACTTTACTGAGTGGCAACAGAGTACGAAAATCTAGCCTTTCTCCATTATTAGGGGGCGGGATTGCAAACTATGGAACTGTACATTGGGAATCCAATATATTTTGAGGCTGCTTTTAAAGAGTAAAAAACATGAAGTTTTACAAAAGTAATTATACCTACTTTGGTCTGCATATCTTTAAAAAGCCCATCACAGGCTTTGAGATAAAAAAGGAAGAAGGCTATTTATCAGTTGTGACAGTTCTGTCCCTTTATCTACTTTCTCATAAGTGAAAAAGGCCATGATAAGTTTGTTTAAATTGTAAATGTAAATACCACGAAGAACACATGCCATGAAACCTAATATAATGTTTTAAAGTTTTGCTGATAGAGGTTGGGTGTTCATTAGAGGTTGAAGAGTACTGAAGGAAGGAAGATGAAGGACCAATTACCAGTTAATCTTTGAATTAGAAATCCCCTCCTCCGTGTCTTTTGCCTGACTATCTGGAAATGGGCTTAATAAGGCTCTGGACTCTGGGAGACATTTGGAGCTCTGTGAAACCATGACAACCATCACTCTGACTGGAAAACAGGACTCAAAAAACGTTGTCACTTTGGCACTTTTACTTCATTTACTTCATTGTTTAGTTCGTTATTACTCTGAACAAGTAAACTCACATTTGCCACCCCAATGAAATATGAATTTCCCAAGAACTCATTCTCAGTGACATTATAATAAAATCTACTCCTTGGCAATGTTAGAGGCTATTTAATCAGTCTTTCTTGGGCCACCCACTATTTTGAAAATTACCGACACAGCCCATTTTCCAGTGAAGGGATCTGGTAAATTGAGAAACCTCAATTATTCTGATCATCCTCATCATTACTCTATGTCAATCAGATTAACACCAAAGAAGATCATGTAGGCTGAATAAGTCAAGGATAATTGAGGGAAATGGCAGCTGGCTTCACAGAAATCCTGATATCAGGTTTGCTGACATGGGGGCGGGGGAGGCAGTGGTGTTTGGACTATTATTGAATATGCTGTTGGAAGGGACTTGCAAGCTCCTGAGATCTTAGTTTTTCAAACATATTGTGGCTCAGGGTTGTTTTCTTATGACACTTCTGTCTAATAAAGAATGCATGTGTGTTATCTGAGTCTGCAGAACAGAGTTTCTTTGTTTCTAAATGTCTAACCCAAGGGCATTAACAATGCTAACTTAGAGTTAGTATATTTGATGTTTTGATGATGTTCATGTGTAATAGAAGGAAATTACTTCATTGGTATCAGATATAGTCTCCCTGAGTGGGTACCTTGAATATTGTTTTGGACAATTGACAGTATCTACTTTATCAGGGTATGAAAGCCACCTCAAAAATCTTTTTCTCTAATAGGCCCTTAATATTTGTATATTTGGTAAATTCCATTAGGACCAGACTCTGCGTGCAAGACAGGACTAGGCTCTCAATGAATACTTGTTGAATTAATGAAAACTTTCATTTTATATTTAATTCTTACTCAAACTGAGAATTATTGAGCTTTTAAAATTTCATACATTTCCTCTCAAATCCAGACCCCCTCCCCCATCCAGGCCTCCCCTCATCCCCCCCACAGAACAGTATGCACTCTGCCATACATGCTGAGTCCTATTCATTCAGGTGTTTGTACCCAAATGTCCTTCAGTGTAAATGTGTCCACTGGAGTCCAGTCAGCCCATCCAGTGGTCATATGTAAGTCATACGCTCCTTCATGCAGCAGCAATCAGTCTCAAATAGTTCTCAATTTAGTGCTGACCCACCACCTATTTCTCACCTCCTCTTTGGACCCTTGTTTAATTGAGCTGATATGGGCCCTGTGCTCGATGCCACAGCTGGTGCAGGTTCATATGGGGAAGCCTCCAGTGACCTGGAAGCCTTCACCTCCTTATGTTCATGAACCAGCCCTGGCTCTTACAGACTTTCCACCTCCTCTTCCACAATGGTCCCCGAGCAATGGGTGGCTTGCCCAAATTCTTAAAATGCTTTTAAATGTTTGACACTTTCATACATGCATAGACTGTATTGCAATCATGGCCACCCCTCCCCACCATGTGCTATTATACTCACTTATTCCTTGTCCACCCCTGCTGACTCTGTTCCCACCCCCATTACACTCTTACCCTTCCTACTCTTGTGGACTCCCTTTTTCCCAGCTAGACCCCCTTCTGCTCTCATGTCTTTTATTTTTTCATGCAGGTCATGTGTAGATAGCCACAGCTGCTGTGTGTTCATGGCAATGAACATGCCATATCCAGGAGGTGGTGTTTCCCAGTGCTCCTCTCCTTCTCCTGGCTCTTACAGTCGTTCTAGCTCCTCTTCTGTGATGTTCCCTGGGACATTTGGAGGTGATAGACATCTCATTTGTGGTCAAGCACTCAGTATTCTCTATCTTAGCATTTTGATAATCTGTGTCTCTGCACTAAAGATTGCTTATCTTCAGCTACATGAGATGAGATAGCACCTTAACTCAGGAGTTATACACGGACACAATCCTTGCCTTTAAACATAACAGATGTGGCATCTACAGAAAAGACACAGGAACTATCTATACCCCAGAAGTCAATCCTATGAACTTCGATTGTTGTTCAATTTTGCCATACAAATTTAAGTGTGAACATTTTAAATGCTGTATTTACTTAGTCTTTGGACATTTATTTTCCATCTTCTAGTATTTATTGAGCATTTCTTACAGTTGATTTCTGTCTGGAGTGATTGTGATGACCAGCTATTGTGACACTGTGACATGTTTGGTGGCCTCTGTGGTGAGGCATGGGCAAGCAGTTTTGTTTTGTTAAATTTCCTTCTAAAATGTTCAGTCTTTTCCTTTTCAATTTGCATTCTCTTAGTCAAACTTCTGGAAGGCATGCTCTAATTGTGAACAAATGCTGAAACTTTATCACGTTGTGAGTCTCAAAGGTGAATGGATTTTACTCACTGACAGCCTTATTCTAAGATCTCGACAAGAACTTCATTGAGCAACTTGGAATTGTGCTCCAAGGCAATTAACAGTTCAATTGGCTTATGTGATAGTTGTCAAAACAATACAGGTTGAGAAGTTGTTTGAGGACAAATGCATTTAAATTTGATCCCTCCTAAAGACTTTCTAGTGCTAAGGGTGAAGTTCTCACATTGGTTCTTTTCTGTCATATTGATTTAAGTCTCAAGGTCTAGGTGAGGAGGGAGCAATTTGACATTTCATTGCTTCAAACTGACATTATTTTCTTTTCAAACAGGTTGCTGTATCTCCTTTCAAGTGCTAATACTCTGAGATGCTAACATTTAGGAAAATGTTCTCAAATATTTGTAACCATGTCAGGGCATACTCAAGTCTACCATTATTCATCCATAATTGAAATCCATAAATTTCTGAAAAATGAACTGTTTTTCACTATTTATTGTACAAATTGACTTGATGACACCTGACTTGAACTAATGTAAGTCTATTTATACTATGTAAGAATTGCAATAAAATTGTTGAGCCATATCCATTAGTATAGAAATACTAACATTTAATTAAGGGTATTCTTCCAGATGATATCGTGATATCACAAAATACACCATGTATAACTTCATAAAATATGAAAAATTATTAATTCCAAAATCTGGTGGGAAGAGTTTGATTAAGGAGCTGAAGCCTTGAACTATTCTGTGATGTTTCATTCACTTACCTGAAAATTTTAAAATCCAGGGAGGTGAGAAAACCTTGAATCCAACTTTAAAGGGACCATAACACAGAGCTGAGTCAGCTCGTTCCACCTCCAACCTTTCAACATGAAGGAAGTTCTTGCTTGGTTTTGGGTAGCCCTTTCTGAATGGCGGCACCCTCCTCAGGCAAGAATATTAAACATGAAATGGAGCCCGATTATCAACATATTGCTTTATTTCTTGGTGGAAGTAAATTAAGGCTTTCTAGAGTCATACAGCACGCAGTGATTTGAACATTAAAATTAAAAAGAAAGAAAGAAACAAAAACCAACAAAGATGAGCATTCAGTTTAGCACAGCCAGGAAGGAAGACATATTTTAAAACAGATAAATTTCCTAGCGAGGTCTTTGTTTAGTCTTGAAAAATCTGCTGAGCTGTTTCCCAGTAACCTCTGTCACAGATTCACATTCAGAGCAGAACTGATGAAGAGGCTGGGAAAGGGAGAGACTGGGAAAGACCATGTGCTGGGCAACCAGTGAGTTCGAGCAGTCCACTGGTCTCACACTTGAAAGACAGTTCAGGTGAAATAGTCAGTTGTTGGTGATAATGTCATTCCAAATGGCTTAGTGAACTATTTTGGATCCCCCCACTCGCTGGGAGTATTAAGCTAGGACATTTTGGAGCACCCCAGTGTCAATGGTTACAGACAATCCTTTGTGACCCTCAAATTCTGAAATGTTAGGTAGAGCCACAAATCAAGGAGCAGGGAAGTGCTTTCATGAATTTCTTTTGTGATTCTAAACTCTGTGGCTATCACTAGATACTGTCCCCAGCCAAAACTTTTATTTTCCCTCGTGGCATAGTCTTGATTAACCATCTGCACTGATGATGGTGTGAACTGAACAGGAAGCTATGATTCACAGGATGAATGACAGGACACCTCCTGAAGAGATGCCAGCTCATCACTAACTTCTCCTTCCCAACATAAGACAATAGTACACACCGGAGCCTACAGTGGGAGTGCAGTTGTCGAGTGGTGTATAAGCTTGGTCTGCAACAAATTTAGCTTGCTTGGCCTGGAAAAGCAGAGGTTTTGGGATTGAAGAATGGACCTCAGAGAAGAAGATGGGTGAGCTGTTTCCACTGTGATGGAGAAGGAAAGTGGCTAGAGAATAATTTGGTAAAGGTTATGGGTTTTCTAAAAAAAGGCAATCAGATTTCATGAAAATAAGCAATAGGATTTCTTCTGGCTACCCGAGTCTTAAAAATGAGGGTAGCAAATTGATGTGCATTCAGAAAAGACTATTTAAAAGTCCATCCACTTAAAATTCAAAATTTGAAATGATTTTAATATTTTGTGTAAGGTCTCGACGGGTGGACCTAGCACTGTCTTACCAGTGTACTCTATCTTCTACGTGTCCAGCACTTTCCAGTGAACAGTATCAAAATACCTGGAAGTCTGCTTTATGCTCTTTAATGGAAACCATGCAGATAGACAGCTGGGGCAGGAGGCAAGGGAGCAGTTTGCACAATTAAACACTTTCAAACGTAACCCCAATCGGCTTTGTGTGATGAAGAAATAAATAGATGAGAAAAGTCAAAATGTGATGTGAATGACAAAGATCCAAGATGTCTGTCCCTGCTGGCTGCAGGACAGATGTGCCTGATGCTTTGCATATGTGCATTGAGAAGAATTAGAAAACCTATAAGGACATGGGTTCCCTTGGGCCCCATTTGTTAATTAAAATTGTGAGCGTCTTTCCTTGGATTTGAAAGTGCTCAGAGGAGGCAAATTGACAGGGAGATCTAGGCTTCCTTTGAGGAGGGTCTCTTCTGCTTGGATAAGATACTGTGGGGGTGAGGGAATGTTGCAAGCATGTATACATGGAAATCAGAGCATTCAGCAATGTGGGGATGTGCAAAAGCCTCTTCCACCAATACAAACAGAGTTGTGCTGGGACACACATACAGGACCCTTTGTACACTGATGATGACACTGCAGAACCACCTGAAATCACAGCTCATCTACAGAATCCATTTTCTTGGAAGAAATACGAGGCTTTATGCCAAGGGTCTTTAAGGGCATCTCTGCTCTTTCAACTCTACTGTGGGCCTGAAGCTAATCCTTCAGCTGGATGTCCTCTTGATTTAGTGCTAGGAAGCCCAAAGAGGTGGACTGCTTTGACCAAAGTCACACAGCTGGTTAGTGGCAGAGCTGGGGAGGGGTACTGGGTGTGGAGAGCTCTCTTCTTATACTGTGTGACTTGCCATAATGTGCCTTTTAAAGCCTTGGAAAGCTCTTTGCACACCCAGAGTGATGGCATCAATTTAATCACAATTTGCTTGGTGTAGGATTTAGGAATGGGACTTTTTACCATCAAGAAGTTTAAAGAGGATATTTAGAGAGCCTTGTTACTCTGATGCTGAATGTTGCTGCTGCTGGGGGGATGCAGGACAGGGATGTGGAGCTTTGGGTACAGGAGGGGAAGAGGAAGAGGGGACTAAGGTGCATTTCTGAAGGCAGAGCCAACCTGTTGAGGAATGCCTACAACTGACCTGAGCCAGGCCAGTTTACTGAGATAGAAAGTGGTTCCTCCCCTACTCCCCTTCATTTCCTTGACCTCTTTTGCTCATGAGAAATGAAAAATAAAAGCCAGTTCCCAAGAACCTTCCTGGAAGAAATAGCTGCTATGAGTGGGTGCAGTGCTTACATATGCTGCTTTTACAGAACATTGTGTTTGGTTCCCGTTCCTGTGAAAACAAACCCTGTGGGAGCCCTTGGTTCAGGTTCAGAAGAAGGCAGGGTTGGTGTGCTCGATGACACAGCGTTTGCAGTGCCGTTTTACAAACCGCAGGGCCTCCACCGAAACTTCACAGTCCTGGACATTCAGCATCTGTAGGTCAAAGCAGTTGGCAGCCACGATCTGCAGACCCTGGCCCGTGATGCTCTCACAGGACTTGAGGCTCAGCCTCTTGAGATTGAAGCAGTTCAAGGCCAGGCACTCCAGGCCTGTGTCAGAGACCAAAGGGCATTTGCCAATGTCCAGAGATTTGAGTTTTGTGCAGTTCTTCGCAAGGTACTCTACACCATGGTCCGTGATGCCCTCACAGCCCCTCGCGTTGAGGTAGCGCAACTTGCTGCAATACTTGGCCACGTAACGGATGCCCACGTCGGTGATGCGGCCACAGTGGGCGATGCTGAGGTACCGCAGGCGGGACTCCAGCTTGGCAATCTCTCGAAGGCCAAAGTCACTGACGAAGCGGCAGTCACTGACGCTCAGCTCCTTGATGGATGTACAGTAGATCACCAGGTAGCGGAGACCCTCATCGGTGAGGCGGACGCAGCGGCGCAGGTAGAGGTGAGTGAGCTGCGTGCAGTGCGCTGCAATGGTGTGCAGGCCTTCGTCCTCCAGCACGAAGCAGTCCGTCATGTCCAAGTAGCGGATGGAAATCTGTTTGCCATGCAAGGGGGACAGTTTAATGGAGGCCTCCCGGGTCAAGCTGATGCAGGTCACTTTGGAGCATCCTACACAAAGACACAGAAGACATGCTCAGGGTGGGAACTTGGTCCTGGGGTGCTTTAACTGATTCTTAACCCTCTCCCCATCCCAACCCAGGGGTTAACATTCTTCTTGTCTTGATCTCTACAGAAAAGATTTTAGAAAAAGCAAGAATGATTATATGTTCATTTGATTATTTGGCTATTTCGCTGATTTGTGGTTAAGAGACTTAAGACTTAGGAAAACCAAGATTAATTCCTGGTTGTTACCAATTATCTGCCTTGGGGCACATCATACTTTTTTTCTTTTGTCTTAAAGTCGGGACATTTCTTTGCTTGAGCTTGGTTGGGCAGATCCTTTTGGCACTGGGCTCCCTAGGTTGGAAGTCCACACTTGGTTTCAAACTGCTATCTACTGCTTTGGCCATGAGGCTAAAACTCTTCTGCATCTCAATGAAATGGAAGGAGTGGCTGGCAATCCTATACTTTAGGGATATAATGACATTCAGTGAGATAGCATATGAATTTCTTTGAAAATTATAGGAAATGTATGCAATTCTTAGTCTACCAAGGTTAGTATCTGGGATTTGAGTGAACTGGCTTTGGGAGGGGAAGATAACCTCTGGATTCTTGCCTTGGTCCCTCTACCTGTCCCCCTGCCCTGCTCTGCCTTTATCTTCCTCAGTATCTCCAGACATCTGAAAGGAGAAGACCTAGAAATGGCACTCAAATCATCTTGTCTCAAAGCCTTAGGATGACACACCTTTTGCTTCAAGAGTAAAGTCTATATTCTGACAGGGCATCCAAGGACTTCACCCTGTGCTCTTCTCTCTGGTCCTACAGGCTTCCCTTCAATTTCCAGGTATAACCCCTGCCCTGCTTTACATTCTCTGGGCCTGTATTATGGAAGGAATTTCAACAGATGGCCCATGGGCCATTCTCAAAATAATGTCAATATACTGAACAATCCTTCTCTGACCGTCCTATAAGCCAGCATCCCCTGACTCACTTCCCCTTCATTTTCAGCACTTTTTATCACTTGGTCACATTACATGTTAATCTGCTCAGTTATTTACTTGATGTCCCCTAACTCTGGAATGCAAGCTTCCTAGGGAAAGAGCTCTGGTGGTTCACGCCTGCATCTCTCATACCCGTCTCATAGCTTGTACTCATCACGTGTCTGTTGAATGAATGAAAGAAGGAATGCACGATTTAGAGTCAAGCGAGTTTTCCATAACAGGCCAGATGGAATAATTCAACTTTCAACCCTTATGTCTTCAGATTTTGGCCCTAGTTCAAGCATATCCTCATTAAAAAATAACTGTCTATTTTATACTTAATTGAAATGCCTTGTATTGATGTTGATCTATGAAGTTTATAAAGTTCTTTGATGAATATATTTGACCTGATTTGAAATTCATTGCAGACCAGGAAACACTCAAGAAGAAATTTTTACATAATCCCATAGACATTGTTCTTTTTTAAAAAAAATTTATTATTTTTATTTTATGTATATGTGTGTATTGCCTGCATGTAGGTAAGTGCACCTGTGTTGTGCAATGCCCATAGAGGTCAGAAGAGGCTGTCGGATTCCCTGGGACTGGAGTTACAGACAGTTGTTAGTTGCCATGTGGGTGCTGGGATTCAAACCCGGCTCTTCTGCAGGAACAACCATTGTTCTTAACTGCTGGGCCATCTCTCCAGCCCCCATAGACATTGTTCTTAATTCCTAAAATTATATATACATGCTGTGTGATGAAATTATTATATGATTATATATAACATATTTAACATTCATTGCATATTTCAGTTCAGTAAATATTACTTAAAATTTGTAGAGCCAATTTTTATTATGTAAGTATAAATATCTGTTATCAATATATACTATATATATATTTATATGTGTCCCATTCCACTACATATACATTTTTTTCTCATTTTCTCTTTGCTCTTTTCAGACCCCTGTGGCAGTTCCACAATAAGATGCTTCCCTTCTGACACATCTGCATCTTGGCAGCTCAGTGCAGCATCCAAGGCTTCCGAGTGAAAGAACAACAGTGCTATTGGGACTTTTCTCCAACTTTGGCAGGCTGTCCAGAAAATTCTGATAAAACACAGGTCCTTGGAATAACAGGGTTCAAATGCCATGTACTACCAAGGCAAGAATTTTAAGGAGTGAAGCACACAGCCAGTCCTGGAAAACAGATGGGTCTCCTCAGGGGCTGCTCTGGAGGACAACATGGTTATGTGGGGGTGTTTGGCTTTGAAATCTCCCTTTGCTATTAGCTTCTTTCTTGGGATGACTGTAATCTTGTACATCCTGAGTGAATCTTGCCATCTACGATGTCTGTGAAGACACTTTTGTTTTAATCTATTGTATAATAACTTTTATTCTTATGCTTTGTTTCTAGTTTCCTTTCTACATCCTTAATATCTATCAAAATCTTTAATACATGAGAGACAATATTTAAGCAATTATGCTTTTATAAAATGATTTCAAATTTTAATAAAATATTAGCTTAACACAGCCATAGTAAACTATTTTGATATGCTTATTATTTTATAGCAATATTTTTTAATGTTATGGCTATCTCTAATTCTTACAGATTTGAGTTTTTATTGGAAGGAAAATAAATTGGTTTATGCCTCAGAAAGTAATACTTATGAGTATTTCATGTCTTCATATTTTACATACATGAGGAAAACCTAGAAATTGTTCACTTAAATGCCAGTCTTAAAAGATGAGGTGTCTAGCACTTAGTGGAGTCATGTGGTTTGTATACCCAGACTAAGGTAAGTTCCTTGACTATGGATTCAAGGCTTCAACAAGAGAGGAAGCATGAAATGACTATGACATGCCATAGATTTGTGCATTGCACAAAGGATTTGCAGTGAATGTGTCATCAAGAGGCAAACGTTCAAACACTGGAGAAGGAGGTCTTTGAAGTGGCTGTATCCAAGGAGCTCATCAAAAGAGAAACAGTGTGGATACACATATGTAAAGTCCTGATACTAAAATAAAAGAAAGCCAAACTTGAGAGATAAGAAATCATGAAGTGAATACATAGAGGGCAGAAAGTGATCATAGTGTTGACTGGATCCCACACAGTTAGCCACATATCACTGTATGCACAGGACTCTGTGTTTAGAGATCTGCAGATGGTTCTGTAGAGGGGAGCATTGAGGACACATGGAAATGGAAAAGAAAGGAAAATGAGGTAAAGGCAACTTTTGGGGGGCCCTACATGCTTAACTGAGGAAGATTATTCCTCCAGAGTTTGGTTTATGGAGTGTGGATTGAGGTATTCAAGAGAGAAATTAGAGAAGTGAGCCTCCTGACAGGCAGGTAGAGGAAAGGAGAGGAGATGAACTCAAGGCTTTGGGAAAATAGGATCATCTGGACAGGATTCTGCTGACTGGAAACAAAAAGTTAGGGAGAGGGGCTGGAGAGATGGCTCAGTGGTTAAGCTCACTGGCTATTCTTGCAAAGGACCCCAGTTAGATTCTCAGCACTCACATGGTGGCTAACAACCATCCATAACTCCAGTTTCAGGGGATCGAACACCCTCTTCTTGCCTCTGCAGACTTTGTAAGACATGGGTGCACTTACATATATCACTTATATACATGCAGGAAAAACACTTATACACATAAACTAAATAAATTAACATTTTTTATTTTATTTTATTATTTTTATTTTATGTGTATGAGTATATTGCCTGCATGTAAGAGCACCCATGTTGTACAATGCTAAAGGAGGACAGACGAGGCCGTCAGGTCTTTTGTAAGAACAGAAAGTGTTCTTAGCTGCTGACCCATCTCTCTAGCCCCCAAATTAAAAATTTATAAAAAGACAAAAAAAAAAATAGGAAAAACAATTCCCAGGCATCCTACTGGAGAGGGCCCTTTTGAAGCAACTTTCCTTGCAACAGCTACATTTGATAGTTTGAAAATTAGCTGGTTTTAATATATCACATTGTTGTTTAAAGATACTAATAAAAAGTAATTTGTGATAAAGGTAAGATACCCTATGTGGGTGTAGTAATTATGAATGACTTGAAAAAAATAACAGTAAACATAGCATTTTTCTGCCTTGCTAAGGAAAGTAATTTGAACTCTAGACCAGCAAATGAGCTGTCAAGGCCAAGTTTACTGTCTGAGGACAACTGTGAAAACCAAGGGGAGCAAGTCATGGTGAAGCCTGCCTTGGCAGCCTTCTGGTCTCTCTGTATTGGTGTAACCATTTCCAAAGTCCCACAGAACTGGAGGAGACTTGTAGCAAATGCTGAGGACAAATCCATCTTTGAACTTTGTTGAATCTGTTAAGCTTATCTACTGGAAGTTCACCTATCTGAGATTTAATCCTCTTAGTCTGATGAGCCACAGATTCCTCTTGTGCTAGTCTTTATATGCACAGGTGTAGATGGAAGCTTTTCAGGAAGCTAAATGAATATGTATGAATTTGCAAATCAAGTTGAGATGGAGGTCAGTTGGCAAGATTTAGTAATAGTCAAGGGGTACAGCAAGATCCTTCAGAGCAGAACACTGAATATTTTCGTTTCCAAATCACCAAAGTGGTTTCAGCATTTCAAAGTTTCAAAAGGATCCCAAACAAGAGAACATAACCTACTTCCATTCTCTATAAAGGATACATGAGAAAGTGCTTTAACAAAGATGGACTTCGAAAATAAGTCATTTTCTAATCTGGGAAAAATAAAACATGGTGTTTGTAAAGTGCTCAGATGATGATAATGGTAAAGAGACCATTGCCATTGCCATTTCCAAACTAAAGAGAAAACACATCTAGTTGTACACACAAGAGCTGGGTGAATTATCCCAAACCACACAGGTCTGAATCTAGTCTTCACATCACAATGCTTTCTCTTTCCAGAGTTCCTTGGAGGAAAAATGTAGGAAAACCTCGTCATTTCCTGCTTCTTTATGCCAGTGGCTGCTCATGAGTGTTTGAACATAAGGTTAACCACGGCTTTGTCCCGAAGCCAGCTAAAGTAGAGGAGCGGCAAGCTGCTTTGCGGCAAGGGGAAAATCTTCAGAAAATAATAGACTGTTGTATGAAATATTTTCAGATGTCTGCTTCTGAAAGAGAGCTAGCTGTGAACCGATTTACCTCGGATTTTGTTGGAGGGTATTATTTACCTCAGATGCTTATAAATCCCAAATTCTGTTACTTGTCTGACACAGGATTTTTACCTCTTGACCCTCCCCAACCATTCTTGAGGTCATAGTTCATGCTGTTCAATTCTTTAACTTCCTGGTGCATCTTACACATTTCAGCCTCTCGAATGTTCGTCTTTTGATTGTGCAGCAGATGAGATAAAGAAAGGCTCTTAGTCAGACTTAGATTCCTGTCTGGCGCCAACGTTTGACTTTGGGCTTTAATTCTTCCTGCCTAAGAGAGATTTTTTAAGTAAAGCAATTACACTGAGATTTCTTTCCATTTTTAAAAGAATGAAAAGTTTGAGTCAATGGATGCTGTCTTTGAACTATGTGAATGAGACTCATGCTTCAAAAGAGCTATAACATTAATTCAAAAGGGAGGAGAGTGCATATCACTTCACCAGGATGGATTTCCCTGGTATTTAGTGCCTATGAAAGCCATTGTGAGGACAGTACCCAACCCTGGGTTTCATCCCAAGTGAACTGTCAGGATCAGGATAAAGACACAGAGCGCAGCATGCAGGGACGCTGCTGTGACTTCTCTGTGGCTCAAAAGCCCTATAGATCTTCAACACGTAGACCAAAGGGCAGTTTCTGAAGTACTGTGGATTAGCCATTTCCTTCTAGTTATATTAATTAGGATTTGGATTCCATTATTCACTGTTGTTCTGGAGAATAAGGACATATTTAAATCACACTGATCTGAGTTGCTAGGACCAAGGTACTCTAGCTCCTTTAAGAAGCAGATATTATTTTATGCCCAGGCCACTTCTGGCCTCCAGGGTTATTATTCCATGGAGGTAGTTATTGTGAAGATGGCCTCTCCACTATCCACCTCCCATCCTTGGTAGCCAGTGAGAAAGGGACTCTGCATGGTGGCAAGGCTTCTACAGCTTTGAGGTGGTGCATTAGGCCAGTCCAGGCTGGGAAGCCAGTTTCCATTTACCTGAAACATCCAGGTGCTCCAGGTTGGGGCAGAGGGACACCACATCGAAGACAGCCTCATTGGAGATATTATAACAACCTGAGACCTCCAAGCGCCTCAGTTCTGGGCAGCACTGTGCAATGGTGTAAAGCCCTCTGTCTGTGAGCCGCCGGCAGCCACTGACAATGACAGTTTCCAGCATGAGACACACGTTGGGGGTGTCCTGGCAGAGCCTGCGGGTCAGCACCTTCAGAGCACGGTCCACGTTGATGGTCTCACCCGTTAGGCGGATAGTCCTCCAAAGACGCGGGTCCCAGGCCAGGTTGTACCAGCGGCGGCACACACGTGCACAGCGGCACAGCTGGTTGGTGGGCAGGAAGGAGAAGATCTGCACCATGGAATGGTCCGGGAGTCGGTCTATGCTGGCTTGCTCTTTCTGGGGTCTGGAGGCAAGCCGGATGAGTGGGTGAGTGAGGCGGGTCGGGGGCGGGGAGTGGACCATGGCCACGGTCTCCCCGGTGATGGAGGATGAAGAAGTGGATGAGCCCCTTCCATTCTGAAATCCTGGCAAAGCAGGTGGACATATCAAGGCTGGGCTGGGCGTGCTCAGTGTGCGCATGCTCAAGTCCGAGTCTGGCAAAGGACAGAGAACAAATGGTTAAGAACCTTGGGAAGGAAGGACAAGCACAGATATCTCAGGGAAGTCACACACGGGGCAATAGTCACATTCTCCTGATATCCTTCACTCCTGGCTGTCTTCAGAGGTGAGACATTGACCTGCATGCAGCGCACCTGTCTCCAAGAGCTGCTAATTCCCAGCTCTACACATGGTAAGCAAGGCTTTGCAGGCCTGGGCTCTCCACCGCAGCGGCTCAACCCTACTGTCATACAAAAACTGTCATAAACAACATGGAAGCAGGCAGCAATGGCTCTCACAGTAAAACTTGCCTTAACCAACAGAGCAGTTGGAGTAACTGCTGTGTAGACCAGGGGCAAATTCCCTCAGGCCACAGCTCACTGATTTCCTATCTCCAATAATGCTGAGCATATAAAAGACACAACTGCAAAGTTGCATTCTTCTTTTCTAAGGAGAAACCTTATGAGTAAAACAATGGTTTGCTTTCCTAATATATTTTGACTCCTGGTTGATCATGGTGTAGTTTCTAAGTGAGGAGAAATGCTTCAGAAGAGAAAGAGACTTGGGGGGGTGGGTAGAGAATGCTTGCTCCCACCCTCCCCTTAGCATGCAGACCCTTCTATGCTGATGACAGTTTCCCAGAGTGGGGAAGCCCTTGATTTTTTGTTAGGCCATCAGGGGATAAATCTAGTCCTTGAAAATCTATTTCTCCTTCTTGTGGACAGCCTCACATTGCATTTGAATAATGACAATCTTTTGTTCCTTAAAATCAGAGAGCTCACTTGACTTAAGTAGTTGGTAAGTTTTTGAGGGATTAGGAATTCTTCATCGTACTACTTTAAGAGCATGTTCAGTTCGTTTCCCTTTCTCCATATATGAGAAAGAAATTATTCTGTCTCTACAACCACACTTAGATGGTATATATTTTATAGATTATTTATGAAGAACGAACTCAATATACTTTTATTTTATACAAATATGCACTTATAAAATTATATATACATATGTTTGTGTTACAATAGAGACAGAGAGGCAGAGAGAGACATGGAGAAAATTTATCTCCAAAATGCAAATTTCTTTAACTGTAAAATAAGCTGTTGGATTAGATGATGTCTAAGTCATTTTCACCTGTCATTACTGTTCCAAAGATTTAAGCTCCAACCTTGTAAGACTTTGCATTTCATACCATGGGAATTAGCACTGACGCTATCTTTAAAAGAGCTTCCAGTAGTGGTCCGACTCTAGTGCTATGAGACCTGCTCATCTCTACTGCTTGTCTATGCACAGTTTAACAGAGCCACTTGCCTACCACTGGAATGTTTTCTTTTCCTTCCTTTCCTTACACTCTAGCCCTGAGATGACTACACAATTCATTCATGGAACTTCTTCAAATTACTCCTCTCTACCCCAGATCTCCCTCTTCAAATAAAAATCCCTTTTGTGATGGGATGTAAATGTCACCTCACTTTGGAATATTTCCCTCTAAGAACATGTTTTTGAAACATGACCAATTCCCTTTAGAAATACTCATTCTTTGTTATACAGAGTCTTGTGAATTTATCTTTCCCTAATATTTCCAATGTATTCTTTTTCCAATGTCTTTCATCATGTAACGTTGCAGTTCCTCCAAGCCTGATGCTGGGCTTGACCATGAGCTCATGATAGGAAAGTTCATGATGTTAGAGGAAAGCCATCTGTGCAGTTGGGTTAGAGCTAGAGTTGGTCTTCTAGCTGGAGTAGAAGAGCAGGCCTGACTCGCCACCTGCTGTTTGGATGAGGAGAGATGCCTGTGGGAGACAGTGCTGGCCTTATAATGCAGCCCAGAGCCAAGCTCAGCTCTACCAGGTTGGTTTAACCATCACCTCTATCAACCAGAGGCATATGAGCCGGAGTACCTACTGAGCAATAACTTTGAGGGTGATTTCCTACACAGCATTGTTATGGCAACAGATGATGGTTATGCCTTCTGTGACAATAAAATCTCTTTTGAGAGCATATTAAGTCTTTGTGTGTGTGCCTGCCCTGGCAGTACATAGCATAGTTCTTGGTATATAGTAGAGGAACAACACGTCTTGAATTTAATACAAGCAATTTATGCTTAAAATGCAATTTTAGCTTAGTACATATTTTTTTTTTATCTCAGATAGTATATATGTCACATTTTAAATTACTTATAAAAAGAAGTACATGTGTCATTCTTTTGTATTCAGGGACAATAAACCTAAAGTCTTTAAGGAAAACCTTCATAGATTCAATTTTGAATTTCAAAACTGCCCTCCAACTTACTGTGGCTCAAAATCGACACCTTTACACGTACTCAAGGAATTAGCTCTGAAATCAGTGTTTTGCTTACAGAGGTGAACAACTTATTTTGGGCCAGGAAGGAGAGACTATTTCAGGCTCTCAACTCTGATGCTTAAGCAGCTGTGAAGGCTTTGAAATCTCTTTGGTGCCTGCCTAGTTTCCATTCATCTTGAAGGAGAGCATGTTTAATAGTGCCCTGTGGGGTTTTGTGCCGTTAGATCCTGGACATGTAAAATATCCCGACCCTATGTTTTGGAAGAGGAAGCAGATGATTTCTTCAGCTGTCGTTACGTGGTTCACTTTTCTTCCCTCTTGTACCTCAGCCCTGGGGGGAGGGGAGTGATGTCGATACACTCAGATTGCTTAGCCCACCTGTACCTTTAGTGAATATTTTAGTTTTTATTCTTAGTCAGTCATCATATCTGAGTGTTAAAGGAATCCACACTCAGAAACAGATAGCCTTCCACAAGCCTGAGAAACATTTTGGCCATGGAAGAAATGGGAAGCTCTCTGATGGCGCCCCTTAAAATCCATCCTAGAGCCTATCCGCAGAAGTTCTGGAAGGAATTTCACCCTGCTCTTCACTGTTCACGAAGTGTGGAGGTAGACTGGAAGATTTCTGCCAAGAAAGATAACATCTTTTTCCAGGAACACAGAACATCATTTGCTGGATACTTTCTGTCCATTTTACAATAGGTCAAGAATTCTCAGAGAAGTTTTGTGAGGATATGATAACAGAATAAACAGCTTCTGATAATTACAAAACAATAAAATGATGGGTGTAAACTCAAGATATACATATCTAGAAGTTGCCACAAATTTTTTTCTTGATATCTGAAATATATAAAATTTACATATAAAATTTAAAAAGTGAATATAGCATATAAGCATTTAAATTTAGAAATACACTTAATTATAAATAAAATATGCATGCTTGTCACACAGTGTGTCAAAGAACTATTTACCTACACTAGGCACTAGACATGATTTATAAAAACAGATGATTTTCACATAGAACTATCAGGAATACCACGTGATATTATTATACCAGGAAAATAGAACCTGGCTTCCACTTTAGACAGAAACTACCTCCATCGCTCAGGTAGTAGATTTCATTTGCACTACAGAAAGCAGAACCACCAATTCTACTCTTGATACATAGCTTTTCTCCCCTCTTGTCCCTTTGAGAGGCTGAACAGCTAAATGACTTGGGAACAGCTGCTGACTTTTTTGAGACAGTTTAGAAAGGAAGACCTCAATGCCAAGACACCAAACACACATTCAGAGGAGACAAGAGAGAAGGACCAGGATGACAGAGGTTCCAGAAAAAAGCTACAACCCTTCCTCTGGATGTATAGCATTATGAAACAAACAAGTGGAAAGACAGCTAAGTATATGTGAACTAGACTATTTTATAAGCATGGACGTATTTTTACTCCTAAAATTCTACATAGCTGCTGCCTTGCAGAAGGATTCCACAGCATATTTTAGTAGGAAAGTAGCACACATTGGGCTAAAGCAGAGTTTAACCATAACTCTTAGAGGATATTATTGCTTACTGTAACACATGACACACTTTTGTATACATTTATATACAAATTATCTATTATATTTTAACTCTCTTTACCTTCCCCTCAACAAGATGAGGATGTTTTGAATGGTATATGGAACAACTACACATTGCCTGTGATTGTTTGAATAGGGAAAATGTGATTTTCAAAAAGTGCCCAACCAAATATGTGACCAAAAGCTTCCATCAAGTACCAAATTAACTGCTGCCAGCAAAGTGTTCTTAAATTCTGCTATAAGTAAAAAGCTCTTGAGTATTTTATTTGAAGAAAAGATGCCAGTAAAAGAAACACAAGGGACTCTAAGAGAGCAGTACATTTTCAAGACATATGAAAAATTTCAGAATGTACATTAAGACCAGTGGATTTTTAAAGTCCACGAAGACTGCTGTTCTGTCATACTATTGAGCAAAATCTGTTTGTACAGAAATAACTGCATAGATTTGCAGTGGAATCTGTTAAAGGCAGAATTAATGACTCAAAATCATGTACCACATAATAATATTTGGTTCAATATGGACAGCATATATGTGGTGACCATTAGATTATGCAAGCGAGAAGCACAGTAGCCATGATAGCATGTATCACTTCAGTCTATGACATTCTCACAATAATACTGACACATTCTTCAGAACGTAGATCTGTTGTTCAGTGGTATATGACCACATGGTATAGTAGGATAGGTAGATGAATTTAAAGATAGACAGAGAAACATGTCTGGGAAAAACTGATAAAATCAGCAAAATGAAAACTTCTGGTTACTGCTAAAAAGAACTGGAAAAGATGAGCAAGGAGATGTGTTAGAGTAGCAATAAAGGCCTAGTAAGGAAAACCTCCTTGTAGCCAACAGAACAGAATCTCTGGCCTGAGACCCAACATTGCTGTTGGGCCAGTCCATCAGCTGGTCACAGGACCGCCCCTAGGAAGGCACATGCACCTTAAGCCAAGCTAAAAAGACAGGTCCTTTAAAGAGTGCATGTACATTTCCTTCCTGGAATCCCTGCCCCTTACTAGGCCATAGCCATTCAGTTTTACAAGCCTGCCTGCTTCTCTAATTATTCAGAAAAGTTTAACTTTTCTTTTTCTTCTTTGTACTTCTTTCCTAAGCATGTTTTCCCTAATAC